CCAGAAGCAAGCAACAAAGATGAAAAAATGGACGGAATGCCAGTCATATGAGCAAAGGCTGAAGGAACTCTTTAGTTTGAAAAGAGGAGATTAAGGGGGAGGGGACATGATAACGGTCTTCAAATACTTGAAAGGCTGCCATTAAAAAGATGGAGAAATTTTTCTCTCTCTTGCCGCAGAGGGCAGGACAGCAGATTTAGACTGAATCTCAGGAAAAACTTCCTGTGTGAGCAGTAGGACAATGGAACCGATGCCCCGGGAAGTCCTGGTTTCTCCTTCACAGGTTTTTGAAAAGAGGCTGGATAGCCATCAGTCCTGGATGGCTTAGACACAAGTCCTAAATCTTGGCAGGGGGTTAGACTAGATGTCCCTTGCGGTCCCTCTGATGGGTGCGGGACAGAACTCGGAGGTGATTGCCCAGCAAGGGCTGTTTCAAGACCAGTAGAGCCTGTGGGAAGAGGCCCTTGCTGTTTCCGATCTTGTACTTCCGGCGCTCCCTTCCCACCAAGGGAGTGTTACGCACTCACACTCCAGTCACAGACCCAGCTGACGCACCCCAGGAAGTGGTGCAACAGCTTGCTCCACCACCAGGCCAGGACTGCAGGCGGGAGGGCCCAGCTGAGCCCTGTGCAGCAGCTGCCCTTGCCACTCATGATGCAGTGGATTCAAATGCCAATTGTTCATTCGTTGAGATGAAGGCCCCAGGGCTCTGCATCGACCCAAACCCAGCTGGGACGCAGGAGTCGTCACTGCAGCTGAATAGAACCGATTCCTCTGCTGGCATCACAGGGCAAGAGATTAGGGAAACAAGACATTTACTGCAGCCCTTGCTGAAAGAGGAATGAGGTATTGTAAGCATGGCTTTGTTGGGTCTTGCTGCTCGGCCTAGCAACCAATGTATTTAGTCAGTAACACGAGACAATCAAAGCTTTTCAGAAGCTTGTCCCTTAGGGCTTGTCTACATTGCCCGCAGGATCAACGGGTAGCAATCGATCCAGCGGGGGTCGATTTATCACATCTAGTCTAGACGCGATAAATCGACCACCGAGCGCTCTCCCATTGACTCTGGTACTCCACCAGGGTGAGAGACGCCCCCCCGGAGCACTGCTTTACCGTGTTATATCCGAATTCATGTTATATCGGGTCACATTATATCAAGGTAGAGGCGTATTTGTCTAGTTTTACAACAGGCTACATAAAAAGCACTAGCAAAGTTAGTACAGACTAAAGTTTCACACAACTTGTTTGTACTGCTCTGAATACCATGCACTGAAATGCAAGTACATCATTTATATTTCAATTGATTTATTTTATAATTATATGGTAAACTGAGAAAGGAAGCAATATTTCAGTAATAGTGAGCTGGGACACGTGTGTTAATCAGTAGACAAGCTCTTAGCATCGCCCATGTTGGTGAGTCCACCTCTTAACTCCCTTTGTGTCTCTTACTACATCTAACACCCTCTTAGAAAGCAACAGAGGGTCCTGGGGCACCTTTTAAGACTAACAGAAGTAGTGGGAGCATAAGCTTTCGTGGGTAAGAACCTCACTTT